CCAAGGATGGGGTGGTCCACAACCTCTCTCTGTGCCCTGTTCCAATACTTAATTGTCCTCAAACTGAAATTCTTCTCTTATTCCCAGCCAGAAGCATTCCTGTTTTTTTTCACATGAAGTGCTTCACCTCTTCTTCTCTGCCTAGAGAAGGTTCCTTTCATGCAGAACCTGTATCCATTATTCACAAAGCTAGTGTCGATGAATGATTCTGCCAGTTAAATATCCCAATTATTCCAATAAAATAAAAACAGCAATGGAAAACAGAAATTGCATAGGTCCTGTGATGAGTAAAATTACAATCATCTTCAAATTTCTCTCGTTCACACGGAATTTTTACATGTATCTTTATTTGCTGTATTTGATTACCTAGATTATGTCAGCCTTACTTCTGACATTATGACAGTCATTCAAGCAAATATGCAAGATCACAAGAATATTAGCAATAAATTTTCCAAATATATGCATTTGCCTTAATTATTTAAATATCATGTTAATATATACACACGTGCTTTTTGTACTTTAGAAACACAATCACACAAAACTAATTTTCTACTCACTGACATGGGCTTTTCGAAGTACTAGCCACAAATCTCACCCAGATATTTCCAAGTGTTTTGTGTTAGTGCAGATCAACCATATTAACAGATCAAACAATAACAGCTAGATAAGGCACTATGACAATCTAGAAAACTGAAGGCTTCCCTAACACTACTAGGAAGGCTATGAACCGCTAATCTAAGTAGCTGAATACTAAAAATGAATATACATAAACTCCTAAAGCAAGCAAGCAAACAAAAAAATCCAAGTATTGCCTTTTACCAAAATCCTTAAGCTTGTATCACTAAAAGTTGTACCTTCTTGGGGTTACACTTTGATTCTTTTTTCATTGTCCTCAGTAAAAATTCTGGCATATTATTTTCAATATCTTCACGTGTTCCCTTTTTGTGCAACACTGCAGCCAAAAACGAAATGACCTTGAGAAAGAAAACAACTCTCAGTGATTATGTACAAAAATGCAAACAGAAAGTGAATTAGTTCCACTGAAAATAAACATTTAGGACAAAACCCTGGATGGGATTTAGAAAGTGGGTTTGGGGGAAATGGGGTTTTTTTGTTTGTTTGGGGGGTGGTGGTGGTGTTTGTTTTAAATCAATCTGTTTTTAAAATGGGAACCCCTTCCCTTGGAGAATTCTGAATTCATGATAAGAGCAATTAATTGCTCTACTTTACTCTTTCACCCTCTAAGTGGAGAACTCCCCAAAATACAAAAGAGTATATGAATGAGCCAGCAAAAACTAGATGAGGCATGCCTTGTAATTTTCCTCCATTTTCCAGAGGACACTTGAATCTTGGATGAGAAAACAGAAGGAAGAGATACTTGCTAACTATACTCCCAACACTACTTCTGCAAAAGGAAGAAGAGATTTAAACTAGAGGTCAGATTTTTACTAATATGTCATTTTCTGTATGTTCCATTCCTTCCAATTCCTGTTTCTAACTTCAAAACCAGTTCTCTTCTCTTGTGTTTGGGCTTATATGCTGTCATATGCCTCAAACCAGTCAAGGTGATTTCCCTTTGATTATGAGAAGACACTTATTACAATACACCACAGTGGGGACAAACATCCCAGCACAGGCTACTCCAAGCTGCTCCCATGGTCATCCAAAACAGGAAGAAGGCACAGAAATATCTGGCCAGAACATTCAAATCTGTAAAACCCACTGGGTATCCATGGGGCTATGTAGCAGGAAGAACCAGACGCATCACCAGAGAGATGCCCTTCTTTTGAAAGCTCAACAGGCCCCCTTTACTCCAAGCAGCCAGCTCCAGCCACTTCCTTTTGCAGCTGCTACACAGCTGCTCATAGCAGGGCAGAGGTAAAGCTGTCATCTGTTGATTTCCAGAAAAGAGGAAATTTCCAGAGCTTTCTCCCTCTAACGATGCAGGTAAAAGAACCAGCCAGGAATGTAGAAATGCATTAAAAATACCTGAGAAAAGTAAAGGTAGATGAGCAGAAGAGAGAGGAAAACACATGGGGCCACAGAGTAGGAGAGAAATATGTAGAAGAAAAGAAAACCAAACATTTTTATACGTAGTATTTCATATAAACTGAGGCTAAGAGGAACTGCAAGTTTGCACATGTTGCTTGACTTTTTTTTTTTTAATCCTTTCAAGAATACGAACAAAATTCAACTGAACATAAAATCTCCACGTGTCTTCCAGATCCTCCATTTTTGGAAGAATTATGCATCACAAATTTGAAACAATAGCAAAAGGCTGTAAAAGGGCAACTCTGCTGAGAAACCTTTGGCTCTTCCAGATAAAGCAGGAAGCAACCTAAAGCCTTAATAGGAAACTTTAACTTACTGTAATCATGTTCATAAACAACATTATTCTACTTGCCTCCACCTCAACTTCAGCTTGAAATGAAAAAGCCATGCAGTCAGGCCATTTAAGCAAAAATCAATTCAGAAGTACAAAGAATATTAAAAGGCAAAAGTGTTCTAGAAAAGTCTTTATCTCACAAATCAACCTATAATTCAGAAATAATAAGGTTCAGCCAACTGACAAACATAAGACAAATTTTCTATAAGACTAAATCAGTTACTTGCTACTTGATGAATTTTAACTAATATTTATTCTTCCATACATGCTTAATCTTTCTAAACAAGTGAAATCCTCTTTTACTTCATACCTACTGAACTACCTTTCCCATACTGAACTTGAAAAACATAAATATTGTGTTTTATAAAAAATACACAAGATATTCTTCAAAACTTCCACCGTTCTTCTGCAAACTTGACACTGTGATTAAAAGAAACAACCATCAGATGTGAACTCCACACAAGAACACACTGTCGCTGTGTGATAAACATGACCAGGTCAAACATCACCAGATCAGTTCTGAGATTCAGAAAATACAAGAGATGGAAGCAAGACAACTCAATTTTCCTCCCGCACTTTACTGCTACCTTATATAGATGCTTCTTACTATATGAAATCAGATATTTGCAGATCTGAGCAGAAACAAACTTCCATAACTACCAAGTTCTTAAACTGCCATGGACAAGAAACATGGCCAAGCTTAGGTAAAACATAAGGTAAATGGATGTGGTTCAGTTTTGATAAACATCTGTTAACAGATCAGCAGCAGCTACACAAATCCATGATGCACCTCCAAGTGCTCTGTCCAGAGAAGTTTTGCCAGTTTAGTTTACTCACTCCTCTTGTCAAGTTTGCTACAGAACAATACTTCTTTGCACTGGTGGGTGTCTGTTGACATTCTTCTAAATAGAAGGGCAACAGATGCTACAGCCAGAATTTGTCAGTGAAGGAATGAGCTTGCATTTGACACATCAAGGGAGAAAAGAGAGGGGGACAAAGACTAGCCACCATAAGATTCAAGCTGCTAACTTAAAACCAGACAGATTAAAGAGAATTTTCAAACATAAAAACACCCTAATTTTAGTAAAATAAATAAATCATTTGGGCCACACTGATTCAAAGCATAATGGAAAAATCCAGCTATACTTTGTCCTTTCATCAACCCAAGTTGTATTTCCGAAAGAGTGATAAAAATAACACAGAACATCTAAGCACTTTTTCCAGAGATGGGAATAAATGTGTCTGCTCCTCCTCGTTCCCAGTACAGTCAAACTATTGGTTTCCACGGAAAAAAGGAAAAAGACATTTAAGGAGCTACAGTCAGATAAAAGCTATAAGTAGTTTCAGCATACTCCAGTGCAAATTACTTCCATGATGCACAGGTAGCAATCCTCAAAGTACATTCAACATAAAATGAATACTAACATTTTAACTGCCATAGCTTTAGTGCTTACACTCAAAGGGGCCACATCCCAGTTTTGTGGCCTGTCAGAAGTGAATCTTAAATACAGCAATGGCTCCTGGCTCTAAGTGCTGTCCTGGACGGTCGCATCCTGCCTCCTCCAACTCCACAATAGAAAAGGAAGGGTAAACTCCACTGAGGAGGCTTTTCTTAAATACATTATTTTTAAAAAAGATTTATATCTATAGAAAACACACTGCCAAAAAAATTATCTATTCTCTCAATGTAACAATCAAAAAGAATACCTGTATTGTCTTTCCAAGGCCCATATCATCTCCAAGAATACACCCCCTTCTATTAGCATAGTGTCCATACAGAAATTGGGCTCCTTCCCTTTGATAATCACGCAGATATCTGTTAATTGTATATGGGATAAAATCACCATTGTCAGATAATTTAAAAGCAACTGCAGGAGACGGAAGATTTCGGTCAGGAAAATAAGGCTTTTCCAGATCACCATCATCAAATATTAAGCTTTTCCAGGGTCCTCTACTGGCTTTGACTCTACAAAGTTTAGTTATTAGTATTTTCCTTTCTTCGGACTCCAAGAATGATACAACAGCAAATGATTTTCCATTCTTGTCCTTTTCAATAGAGGATATTGTTCCTTCATGAAGTTTCCCATTTTCAAGACAAGGGGCAAGGCACTTCTCCCCTATATGCCAATTATCTATAAAAAAAAACACACACACAAACATAGTGATGAACTGGCCAAATGTACAAAGTATTTCATTCTGTCACACTAATAAAACATTGGATATAAATTTATTTGACAAAATGCATACAACTTAAGATAAAAGATTTTGCTGAAGGTAGCACTAGAATTAGGATACTGATTACTGTTCAGAACCAAAACCTGAGCTAGATATTAAATTACAATTTGCTGAAGTGCTGCTATTTTATAAATATCTGAAAGTCTACAGGAAAATATCTCATATAAAAGCCATATTCTGATACTTTTAACTTGCTCCACAGTGGCTTCACACAGGCAAACACCAATATGCTGATGCCTGCAGGTTTAGCGTCCAATTAACAGACCACATGAACTGATGAAAAAGGCCTTCTATATTAGATACACTTCTGATCTACCTGACTCTAGTAGTGCAGTGTCAGTACATTGTTTTACAAATATAATCTCATAGGAAAACATTACCTTTCTCCTAACAGTCTGGAACAGGTAAAAAACCTTACATTTAGAAACAACAGAAGTGTACTTTAAGAACACTTAGTAGCATATCATTTGCCTATATTGTCCATCAAAGTGGCTAATTACTCAGTAAATGCTTACATAGCTGTCCAGTCTGGAACTGTTAAAATCTGTTCCTCTATGTGGTCTCACTACAGTCTTAATACAGCATATCAAATATTAACAACAGAGATGACTGAACTGCTTCATTTTCAGCTGTCTCAGTTTTACATGTCCTGGTTTTGGCAGGGATAGAGTTAATTTCCTTCCTAGTGGCTGGTACAGTGCTGTGTTTTGGATTTAGGATGAGAACAAAGTTGATAACACACTGATGTTTTAGTTGTTGCTAGGTAATGCTTACACTAGCCAAGGACTTTCCAGCTTCCCATGCTCTACCGACTGAGAAGGCTGGAGGGGCACAAGAAGCTGGGAGGGGGCACAGCCAGGACAGCTGACCCAAAAAACTGGCCAATGGGATATTCCATACCATGGGACGTCATGCTCAGCATATAAAGCTGGGGGAAGAAGAAGGAAGGGGGGGACGTTTGGAGTGGTGGCGTTTGTCTTCCCAAGTAACCGTTACACGTGAGGGAGCCCTGCTTTCCCGGAGATGGCTGCACACCTGCCTGCCCATGGGAAGTAGTAAATTAATTCCTTTGCTTTGCTTGCGTGCACGGCTTTTGCTTTACCTATTAAACTGTTTTTGTCTCAACCCACGAGTTTTCTCACTTTTACCCTTCCGAGTCTCTCCCCCATCCCACTGCAGGGGGGGAGTGAGCGAGCGGCTGCGTGGTGCTCAGTTGCCAACTGAGGTTAAACCACGACAATGCACAAAGATAATTTTTTAAAAGGTATGTATGCTGCTAACAGAGAAAGAGGAAGATAAGAACAGCAGTATATCCGAGTCCAAAGAATCCACACCATACTGACAAGGAAAAACCCAACAAAATATCTCTATCAGAAAAAACAAGGCCTTCACTCTTCGTAGTAAAAAGAGAAAGACCTAGTAAATAACAGTTGCACACAGTCTTCCAAATCTGACCTGAGGAAGTGTTGGCCTTCTGCGTTTGTGGAAACAATTTCCAACCTTCCCCTGCTAAGCCGTCCCAAAACAAAGAAAGGAACATACATGACTTACTTCAGAACTTTCATTGTTTCATATCTATTTGTTGATTAAGTTCTGCTACTTCTGAGAAAGTCATTATCAGCAGCAGTGAGAAGCACCTAAGGTTTTTATGGGAAGGAGCAAGAGAGAGAATCTTGCATCAGAGCAAGTATTTGTACTTCATAACTATGATCAGTGGTAGTACACCTCTCCGGGTGCATCAACCCAGTTACTTTTCAGAGGTAAGGAAAAGAACAGAGGAAGTCCTGAAGGCAAGAAACTCCACCTTCTCCCATTTTTATGTGTTAGTGCAAAAAACTCATGGAGAAGATAGGTTCTTCTCGCTAGTTCCTGAGGTCCTGGAAGTGTACGCTCACAGGATTATTCTCCACAACATATTAGTTAGATCAGTGATAATTACACTTCATTTTTTTAAAATTAATTAAATTATATACACTAAAAGAAAACAAAAACATCCATATAGCCCACTATTCTGCAACCAGCAGTGGCCATAAGTTGACATCCAGGTAACAATAAAAATAGCACAAGCATACAGAATACCTCTCTTCTAAAATTCTTCATCCTTAAAGTACTCTTTCAGCTACAGAGGTTTCCTGGGCGAGGTGTGGTTTGACTGTTTAGCAAACCCCAGTGGACCTCTCTCTTTCAAGTAGCTCCATTCCACCTTCAACACATGCAGATTTCTTGCATTCAGTGTCTTCCAACTATGAATGTCGCAGGTCTACTCTCTAATACCTGACAAGCTTTTGCCTGCTATGAACTCGGATCCCACAACCTGAACTGATGGCCCATTAGTTCTTATACTAACAAGATCATAAACCACGACCTCTCCATTAGACTCATCATTTTGCAATCTCTTTCATAACGCCCCCCATCATCCTTGATAAATTCAATCCCACACCCTGTGACCTGTACATAAGCTGCACCATACCTTCAGCCATTCCCACTGACCTTCTCAAGAGACTGGAAGCTCAAACATATCTTTTTGAGGCAAAGGGTGAAGTATAGACAGTATATTCAACCAAGCATACATAACTGATCTCTTGAAGTTTAAGGCATTTGTACTGTCTCTCACACATGCCCAAATCCGTGCAAAAAAATGTGCACATGAACTCCCAGTAACATCTAAGCCTTTGAGTAATTTCTCAAAATCAAGAAGCAAGACTGAAAAAATGAAACCAGCTATATACAGCACAGTTAAATATGCAAAACAAAGTTTAAAATGAGAAAGCACTTCCGTAATTACTTTTTTTACAGTAATATCTGAAGTGACATGCGACATTAGTTTTAAGACTCTCAAAACTATGATTTAAGATGACAGTGCTTTTGTTTTTAACTAAGCATTTACTCGAGTTTAATGAGTTGCATACAACTTGTCAGAATTAGGGTTCCAGGTGCAAAGTGGAATAAATCACATTGGACAACAGTTTCAGTATTACCAAACTGCAAACCTAGTGAGAAGCAAGGAACAGAATGAAAAAAAGGGAAAGAAAAGCAAAGCAATGGTATTAAGGACACCATTCCTACAAAACCCCTGAAAATAATGCTGTACAAGCCAAAGCAAGAATTGCTACTTTAACTAGCCTGATTCACTGACTTCTTGGGTTTTGAACCAGAACTATAATTTATGTAGGGTACTATCTTTGAAAAAGAAGAAAATTATCTGGTATGGCTTCCTACCGTGTGTACAGTACACTTACCATCAATGAAAAAAGCTGGTATTTAAGATGCCTGCCTATACTTACCCCTTTTATCACAGTTGAAAAAAATGTGCCATTATATATATTGACTATATTAAATCATGCCGCTAATGGCCTACTGTCACACACTAGCTCATTTCAACAACTGCTCCTCTACAAAAAAAAAAAGTAAAAGTACCATGAATGCTTTCTAACTATGGAGGTTTGACCACTTAATGTAGACTGCAAAGGATTTTTTACACTCCAATAAATGACTGTAAAAGCAAAACTCGAGGATACAGTAAAAGTATTTCCCTCCTTAAACTGGAAAGCTTAACTACAGTTTTTAAATTAAAGAGGCTAAAAAAACCCTAAAATGTTGTCTTCCAAAAGAGATGTTTTGACTTCACTTAACCACGCATTTCCACTTGTCCCACGAAAGAAACTCAAATGGTTCTGATAAACAGAACCGATTTAAAAAGTTCTCTCACTGAGTGAGAGTGAGTAAAACATATGCACCACCATACTTCTTACAGTCAAACGCCTCAGCTTTGCCGTCAGGCGAGGCCCCGCAGCACTGTGGCACAGACATGCCCACAGGTACCGCCGGCAAGCTCCCACCGTGGATGACCAAGCACCTCGTACCTTCCACAGCTGCTCTCATTTTCCACCAGGGCAGACGTGGTAAGCGTCTGAACATCGCCTTGGAAGGATACACGGAAGATGCTTACCTGGGACATCATCACACATTTTAACTTTTGGGCGTGCAAAGCCCGCGGGCGGAGGCAGCCAGGGGCAGGTGGGGGACCAGAAGCCCGCCGGGCCCGCCGCTCCGGCGGCCTACCGCCACCGGAGGGGGGG